AAGCCTCCTCTGTATTTTGGGTATAAGGGCACAGTCCACCACGCGGCCCCACTGCGGATTGGCAGACTTCACATATTATATATCTTCAATTTATGTTCAGTTTTTATTTCGAAAATATGTAGGTTTCTTCACAATGTTTTCCTTCACAGCTGAGCATGTGATAATTCAGTACATAATAGTTTTATGTACTGAATTTCATTGCTTGCATCGCATTGTCACTCAGGTTGCTGATGCATAATGAATTAAAAGCGAGCGGATGGACACTGTATACTATCACGGCTTTCTTTCTTTATTTTTCAAAAGAAACTTTAAATTCAATACATATTCCCATGATGTCTAGCATCATGGGAACATGTATTGAATTTAAAATTGACATTGCAGCTTAGTCTTAAACACGCTTTTAAATACTACTGTACTGCGAGAGCAACCCGAGTATAAATATATTCTTGTATTTTAGGTACAAATTTGTCGAGTGTAGGAAACCACATTGTGTGGAAAGCTGCAAAGCATTATAATAATCAACAAAATATTTCATAGATATGTGATTTTCACCAGTTCTTGATGTGTCCACGAGCTAAAGAATGCCAAAACACCACGGCATACGTTCCTTTAACCCTGTTATCTAACATACTCAGTTACTTTTGAAACAAAGACAATGAAAAACAAAGCGATTTGACTTAGTTACATTTTTATTGGTCTTGTAAAAAATACCGTACGATACGTAAGCAGTTCAAGTTATTCTATAGATGAGCCCTAGTATTTTTAGAACGTAAGCAGATCGACAAACGATTATAATTTAAGCAACGATAATTAACGAAAATTGATTAAAGCATGTATATATATTCTAGTTGTAGCGCCACGCAACAGTTGTTGTTGCACGAATGGGCAGAACCGTGGGTAAGTACCACGACCTCACAGATTAACCGCGTGAAGTGGTATTATACTTCTGCGTTTCGTCTGGTGAGTGAGATAGCCGGGGCATAATTTATTAAACGGCAACGCATCTGCAACACTACGGTGGCTGACATCAGGTGAGCCGCAAACTCGGCTGTCACCTTCTCACATAAAAAAAAAACGCTTCCATAACGGGATACTTGAATAATGTGATTTCTAGCTCCTTACTTCGACCGTAATAAATCGCGTGCCCATCACATCTATTTATTAGAAAAAAGTTTTGCGCGGTATAGGGTCTAGACTTGTTATGGTAGTGAACTCTAATATACGTTATAAATATAACAAATGAGGGACCAGTCGTTACCGTAGCGCAGGTTTCCTTTTAGCAGCGTGACTAGACACTGATTTTATAGACGCGCGTAATTACACAAGTTTTAAAAGTAAATAAGAAAGAAAGATAAAATATCATTCAATAACTATACGGACTTCAGGCCCCTTTAAGGCCCAGAACTTTGTTAAATCCTTCTTCTATAAAGTACTAAACTAAACTACGAGCTTGTATGTAAGTAAGGCAAATAAAAGCCATCATTGTAATAATTTTATGTTTAGTACATTTAAATAGTCATTATGTAAAGTAAATCCAAATATAATGCAAAGAAAATTGAAGGTGAAAGTAATTGTATATAGGTTCACATAAATCCAAGTTCTTTTGAATCAATTTAAAAGAGGTAAATCAAGAGAGGAGTTTACTTTACTGGCACGTAATACAAATTTCTCTCAAATGATTGCATTAATCTCCAGACGTAACTGAAAACTAAAACTTTAAGTGGGTCTTCAGTGAGGCCGTTTTACTACGAGCCGCATCGGTTAGTTATTACCTATTCTTTCTACATATCCCAACAACTAGTTGAGAGGGGGGGGGGGGGTTGGTTGTGGGTCTACCTTTATCCCGCCTTTATGGAGTGAACCATGTTGTTTATGATACTGGCTAGGTTACTGACGACCGGCTGTGGACCTGAAGTCAACTCTCCCTGGAAATAAACACCCAGATTAGGAACAATTATCCGTGGGTCACACAAATACTTGTCCCGTTTGGGAATCGAACCCACGACCCCCGACGCCGTAGTCTGTCTTAACAACGGCGCAACCAAGCCACAATAAAAATTTTGCTAATATCCACGTCTATTAGAAAGATCGAACATGCCATCTCGTTGCGATCAAATCCACTACGTCCTAAACAGTCCATAAGTGTCGGTCATTAGAAGTAATTGCGCTCCAATAATATGATATTCTTCTGCACGAATAGATTAACAGCGAAGGCGGACCTTTCACTAGCTGATGGCACAGAGGCGAACGACATACGAAAAGTCACGTTTTGGCCGTCGCTCTTGAATGGATTACGATGGATTGAACACGCGACGGGCGCACGGAAACTATGTTCGTGTCCATTCAACGATTGCTTAAGAGAATTATTAAAAGAGACTTCACATATTTTTTTTGTTATTTCGAAAACATGCGGATGTATGAGCAGATAAGTCGAAGTGAATAAATTTTGATTCAGAACGAAACTTTTAATTACTTAACAAAAAAAAAAAACAAGAAGGTAGCTCAAATAGTGACTTAGGTGAAATAACAATTCTAAGAAATTAGTTTAAGTCAACTGTTAGAGGCTGTTGTATAAAACTTACAAGTTGGCATGACTAATTAGATTAACGCTATCTTTCTTACTGTAATATTTTTTTATTTAAGCAAGATTTTTTTTAATCTTCTTACTGAAAAGTAAAAAGGCACACTGGTGTATTTTAATCTCTTAATAAAGCCTTTGTTTGTCTTTGTCTGTGTTCTATGACGTCTGCGCTTTCTGTTATTGTTTAAAGTTTATGGAACTTTTTTTATCTGGAGTCTCTACTGAAATACAATTTTCGCGGGATCGCTAATGCAGAAAAACAGAAGGATATTTATTATAGGGAAACAAGAGATGTTTTCAAAATAACCTAGCTAAGAAGATTGTATAGGTGCATTTAAATGTTGATCTGATTCGAGAATTTATTTAAGTTTCGCATTTAAGTTACTTATCACAACAGACTGCAAAAAAAGGAGAGGCACAATTTGGTTGTATTTGTTATGTTTGTTACCTCGGAACTCCGTCATTTATGTCCCGATATTAAAATGTTCTCTTTGTATTGGCGCGTTATAGGTTATTAGGTATTATTGGCTTTTTGTTTTATCTCCTATAGCTTTCATATAAATTTCATTGGCATCGATCATTGGATTTCGGTGGTACGTTAGAGAACTCCTCAAAACCAAATGGAAAAAGTATTGTGAGTGAGATATTTGATGTTTATAAATAAAACCGGCCAAGTACGAGTCGGACCCGCGCACGAAGATTTCTTCGTACCATTATTTATAAAAACGGCAAAAAAATCATGTCTGTTATATGGGACGCCTTGAATGTTCTTTATTCTGTTTTTTAGTATTTGTTATTATAACGGCATTATCTGTGAAAATTTCAACTGTCTTACTATCATGCTTCATGAGATACAGCCTGGTGACAGACGGCCAGACAGCGGAGTCTTAGTAATAGGGTTCCGTTTTACCTTTTGGGTACGAAACCCTAAAAGTGTACTTGATATCTTTATAAGGTGGCAATGGTGGCAGCGAATAAATCTGATTCTGTCACCTATGTACATTCAATGCGAAAGTTATTTTGAAGTTACGTAGCTGAACTTAGCAGAGGAAGTGCCCGATTACTTACTCATAATATAATTAATCAAGTAGTAGTAAAAAATTGGTGTTACTTCACTTATTTAATGTAATTATGCTATGTTAATATATTATAGCAAAGTAATGTATTTGTTTATTTAAGTACTTTCTATAAAACAAAATAAACATGAATAAACAGGTAGGTAGATAGAAACATATAAGATTAAATATGACTTAGTAGGTTACGTAATAGGGGGATATTAAGTTATTTGGTCCAAAAATGTATTGAAGATATGTAACTGAGAGAATTTAATTTACAAAGGAGCATGTCACATTTTTCAGAGCATTCCACAGTTGAATGACCCATAATTTTAGTCATCAAAACGAAAGAAGTCGTTAGAATATCTTCTGATCGATTCACTGGATCTTAAGATCGTTTAAAAATCGTTCTTTATCACACAATAAAATCGATTCCTCCATTAATCGATCTCATATCGTCATCCCTATGATTAAAACTGAAAATTCGAGATTAACCTAATACAATCTCTACAAAAAAAAGTACCACATTCCACGTAATATGTGAAACAGCAGAAGGGAATTAAGTAGATCTAGTATTACTAATTATTCGCAATGGGATTCGTTCGATAGTATTACAGGTAATTAAGGTGTCGGGCGATTACGAGAACCCATTTCGAGAATACGATATCTCGCCGTACACTTGCGTGGAATGTGGCCTTATATCGGTTGGATGTCAAAATCAACGGGAAAAACACGTTAAATTAGTTTCATTTAGTCATGTGCAATCGCGTAAATAAAAGAAATTGTCATGTCAAAAACAAGACAAATGTTTGTTGAAAGTGAACCTTTTTAACAGAAATGGCTTTATTCGTAGTAAGGTATGTTATTATAGCATTGCTTTATTGTAACATAAATATCTTAGTTTGATTTTTGGTTTTCTCTCTTGTATATTTGATTGATCGATAATGTTTTTTTAATAGCTCCGATTAGTTCAGTGTCACAACTAACGTAAATCATCGTTTGCTAACGACTTCAAATGACGTAGTAAAAGGCACCTCTGTGAACAAACACTGAATCAGAGAACTCGCGACTACAGGCGATATTTTGTTAAAACTTTTTTAGGGATTTATTCGGATTGTTTTCGATTTTAAGCCCTGACATGAAAAAATAATGAGATTATACGGAATACTGTGCAAAAAACCGAAAAGTAGGTCTATTAAAGCGAGTCGTATTCGTGTAAATTTCACGGCCATCACTGAAGATATTGTTATTCTTATTCTAGATGTAGTTTAGTTGCAATCGATAGACCAGGTCGTTGATCTGGCGCGACAAAAACAGCATGCATTAAAACCTGGTCTATTGTAACCTTGGAAGCAGATACGTACTGAGATGGGACGGCGTCAGAGGTTGTCTCCTCTCCTTAGGCGGCGTGCTGTACACAAACGCGTGGTTCACGCAGCCCGCAGCTTGTGTGGCGCCGACCTCGCTCTCAGAGCCCCGTCTCGTGCGTCTCGGCGCAGTCAGATCCGTAATCGACGCGGCCGACTCCGACTTGCCGACGCCCTTCAACTTCCTCCTGCCTCTATCTTTACTCGGCGAGTTGATATGCAGTATCGCAGCCGCTTTCGGCGGCACCCTCTCCGGCACCAGCAGCTCCTTAGCTGACACGCTCTTCTGTTTCTTGTTCAGGAAGAGATCGCTGAACTTCGCCTTCTCGGCTTTTTTCTGCGGTTTGAGGTTCAGGTCGACGTTGCCGCTCTTCCGCCTCTGCTTCGCGGGCTCCGGTTTCCGTTTCGCCATTAGCGGTGTCTTCGGCTTGTACGTGCCCTCTAGGCCGGTGTATGCGACGCTGCAGTCCCTCTCGCTCCAAAGGTGCGTGAGCAGGACGTCGCGTTTGATCTCTATTGCTTCCGCTTCCTCCTTGCCGGAGCGCCAGCGGTTGCCGATCAGTCGCAGGGACGCGCGGACGGATCTGGTGCGTCGCAGGCCTCCCTGCTCCCTCTTGAACCTGTCGAGGAGGGTCTCCATAGCCCTGCGAGGGGGTGGGTGCGCGGTGCCATGGGCATGGCACCTCGGTGTAGTGAGCGCGCTATACGACGTTCGCCCGTATCGAAGTGGCTTGCTCGAGTGCCGCCTAAAACAACCGTTGCACCATAAGGTCCGCGTACACCGATGGTTTTGGCAGCCCGGTCCTACGGCATGGACGATGCTCCCTCACGAACTGATCTCCTTCAACAAGCGCACCGCTTGATAAGATTGCGCGCGATAGATACGTCTGTTTAAAGAGCGCATGTCACCGGCGCTGAGATTTGTTTCGTGACGTCGCAATGATAAACGCTAAGAAGGCATTGTACATATAATTTCAATTCACTCTTCGGCTGGCTCCGAACAGTATCGGTGTAACCGGCTGGATAGTGTTCAAAGATGATTTATGTGACGTATACGTTACATAGGCGGCTGGCACGGAAGAGCCTCGATGAAGCTTACCGCTCTTGTAACTTGCAATTTTAGAGCACTGGTTTAAGGTCTTTGAGGCAACAGCATTTTGTGGCATGTATGCGGCCCAGTAATTATGCAACGGTGTATTACGTAATACGTTTTAGGGAAACGTTGAGGTTATTTGAGAAGTTTAGCATTTTAACAATCCGAGGCATTGTTATGTATACTTGGTGAAACGTAATTGTTTTTGGCTTAGTTTCGGTTGGCTTGCCCAATAAATACAAAGGCTCGTTTGAGTTGAATAAAAATATCAACCTAATTCACGCGGTTAATTCCTACAGTCAAATAGTGTATATTTAAGTGGATTTAAGACATAATTATATAAGTAAAAGGTATCGTGACGAAAAAGATGGGAAGCTAACAATAAAAACATGAGTGAGTTATTACCATCACCAAAATAAATCAAAAGCCTTTTTACATATTTCTCGCCATAGAAATGGACGTTCATTGGCAAAAAAATGCCAAACGCTTCGTATTTTCGCGTGGAATTCCACCAATTCGTTTCTCGTACACTTGGGCAGGCGAAATTGAAGTTCGATTAATTTCCTCAAATTCGAATCTGTCGGAATGTCTATGGATAGAGTTGGCGTAGTATGGTCAGCAGGGCGCGGTTTTCGAAAAAGGTTTTTACTCTACAGCCGCAACATGATTTAAAATGTGTAAAGAGCTATATTATAATAAAGATACCTTTCTCGGCGATTTTCTTCTACTCAACGTATAAAATTATCGCTACTTCACACGTATGGGAGCTAATTGCACTCTTTATATGGCTGTTGTATTTATGGGGAGGTAGACACGGTCGTATATATCAGGATAAGTAGTTATTTTAACAGTATTTCCTTTAATAAAATTTATTGTATAGGATATGATAAACACTAGTTGTTTAAGATTCACCAAATGTGTATTTAAGAGAACATTCGGCATATAAAATAAAAACAAAAATATGTTATTAGTCTTTCAGTCGTTTGAAAAGGTAAAAAAGATTTAAATATATCTATTGTCTAAATATTGGCTATATATTTTCTTTTAATCGTCTAGCTAGACTGTTGTACTGTATTGCTATTCTGGTATACGGAACCACATACTTAAAGAGTCGGAATGCCTGTTAGGGCAAAAACTGTAAAATTATTGCTTTATACATAAATGCTAAATATCATGGTGATTATTGTGAGAAATCGAAAAATATCAGAAAGTAATTTGATTTTTTTTGAATACTAAGGGAGTAAGTTTTAAAATAAGTTAGTGAATCTTATACTTTAATATTTATTTATTAATAGAATATATTTTTATGTTATTGCTCTTTACGGTACTGATTTAAGGTTAATTTAAGAATATTTCATAATAGGCGCCAGCTTTTATTTCCACGCTATTTATTAGACTAAAAATGCATATAACAATAACTGCCCTGATATCGTGACGGCGATTGTATTACAGTAAAAATATTATTATTACGCAAATAAGACCATGAAGTAAATTTCGAAGCGGAACAAAGAAGTATGATATGATATGTGACATGATAAATATGCAAATAGCGGTCGACCTACATCGCATACGTTCGCATTCATAATAGTTTGAAAAAAAAAAAAAAAATGAATCGTTTCGATTTTTTTCCAAATTATTACTTCTTACGTTTTCATATTTTTTTAATTCACAAGACGAAGGTTCTTGTACCACATCCCTTACTAACCCCTCTAATCGTTAATCTATTATTCTTATATAATTATATAATCGAATAAATATACCCACCAAATTGCTTATGGTGTCGAGAGTCATAGTAATCTAAGAACTAAGATTTTTTATACAAATTAAAGTTACGGGAATTATTTTGATCCACGATAATAATTCTTGTAGCTTTACTATAACGTTAATACTGCGAGATGTCCTTTTGAGACCCTAGTGTATACTTATTTCTGCTTATAGCTATCTCCGTCTAACACATTTTGGGTTGAAATAAGTGAAGGTTTTTTGAATTTTTGAATTGAAAATGTACCTGCCATTTCTTAGTCATTTTGGGTAGTTTAGCAGGGTTTAGTGAACACCTTCTTAGCGTTGCTTATTATAGAAACTTTTCATTGTTATACTAGGAAATCCGGTAAAATATGATCCCAAGACCTTTATATAAATTACTATGTTTCCGTGTACCGCTGATATACTGATTGAAGAATAGCATTAACGTGAAATAAATAACAATAAAATTTCAATTTCGTTAATATTAGCGTGGCGTGTAATGACTATTTATTATGAATAAGTCAACTGCGCCACTGTTTTTATAATATTTTGTCTGTAACCCCGCAGAAAAAAAAAATTATCAAGTATTTTTTTATCTCAAACAATTCTTATTGTGTGTTTTAAAGAAGCCAGTCTTAAAAATACTTCTAAGCGTTTATCAATGCCTCGTCAAGACTAAATAACCAGTTCAACAACAAAAAACAAATCAATTACCAAAACAAAATATCTAAACTAACGTACTTTAAACATAGACATAGTCTATATTAATAAACATAAGCTAAATAATATCCAAAACTTAAAAAAACATTTAATTATTAAACAAATCATTACCCTTATGTAAACATTTAAATCATTTATTGTTCCTTAAAAATAAAGACTTTTTTTAATTATTTTCTCTCTTTCACAGTAACGTACATGTTATATAAACTCATTTTGTTTTTTCTTCATTTTTAAAATAAGTTGTGTGTATTTATCACAAACAAGCTTTCAACTGTCAACATAACCGCACTTTTACTTAACAGCTAACCGTCTGTTCCTTGTTCCATAATAAACTATTATTTGGGTACAAAAATAACAAAAGAACTGTTGTACACTTAAAACACTAATTAAACTGGTTCGTCCCATTGATTTCGTAAGATTTAAATAAATGTAATATTCCAACACAAACACAAGCTTTCAAAACAATACTAACTTAACGTTCGCGCTTACTATAGACAACTAAAGCGATGTGAAGTTAGCCGCGTCAGGGACACCAACATGGCGGATAGAATACCAGCATGACGAAGTGAAACGACTATCGCGTCAGTCAAAGGTGTTGCGCTTAAAACGCATTGAGATTTATCGATATTTTACACATCGACTGTTAAAATGTAATTGGTTATCTTACTTATGTAACTTAGTACTAAAGTATGATGTTCTGGACGTGGTAGTTCAATGTTTATGGATATTTAACTAAATCCAACTAATTTTGTTATCTCATAATTCATTAATTTTACCCACAAAAACTGCTTATGTTTAAATTAATTTTTAATAGTGATAACAATCTATTAAATGATATTAGAGACTTAAATGTATTTCTTGTGTCTACGCAAAAGCTACATATTGTTAAAACATTAATTGTTTACTGTCTAAAGTTAAATCATTCACAAAAATGTGTCGATGATATGAACATCACTGTCATTTAGTAATGATATCGTAGCAATGAATGATGACCGACGAATGAACTCTAACGAACCTGTTCGATCCATGCTGCGCTTGCGCAATCGTAACATGGTGTTTTAATGCCTTGCGATTTGGGTACCCTTGATAATGCCACCCAATGTTTAATATTAATTGCGGCCAATTACATTATTGGCAATAACAGTAACATATTCATAATGAAAATTACGATTAATTGATATAAGTATATTGGTGCCTGAATTGATTTTAAAACAACGGAGAGTATTTAACTTTTAATTTCTGCAGCTAGCTTAATTATTATTTATTCAAAAACCAATGGCATAAATAGATTACACACGATTTGAAGTTTTGCTATCGGTTTACTTCTTTAAATTATTGCATTATATGAATTTAATAAATTTTAGTATAAAAAAATAGTATTTAAAGTTATTTTATAAAATAGTATTTAAAATTATCAGTATCAGGTAACTTCAAGAGATTTCATGTTCAGTCTGAAAAATGAGCCGTTGAGTATCTAGTACCTCCTTCAATGAACGTACTCGTACTTACGTTCTTTACGTATTTCAATTAGCTCTTACATAGCAATGTAACAGCTAATTGAAATTCACCTTTGATTGTGTACTTGTACTAGTCTTCGATTATAAACTTGTAAGTAGTTGACAAGTACAGTACCTATATAATAAAAGAATATTACAAATCTTAAAATGAGTTATTAATAATAGGACGTAATTGACATGAACTCTACCTATGTTGTAACGTCAGCAAAATATTCACTATTTATAAAAAAAAAGGTTTTAATTGGTTTTCGTGTATTTACGAAAATAATTGTTGATGCCGCTGGTTATACACGACACTTGATACAATTACGCGAATTGTATTATTTGTTTTTTTTTTATTAGAAAATAAAGCACGCATTTTTACTTTAAGTAAGAATTTACGCTTTATTATGACGATGAATTAGTTAATCACTATTTAATCAATTAATTAAATCTTTCCTATTCCTATAGCAGCAATTGGATTCAATTAAAATTTGCCGTTCAATCTGATACCGAAGTATTTGAACACACGTGCGCAATTGTTGCACAGATTAATTAGCGGAACGACGCGGCTCAAACACGATGCGATTGATTTGTTTAAATCGTTTTAACTGGCCAATTCTCTGTTGTTGCTCGATTTTAGAATGCGCTTAATGAAAACAAGTTTAGCTATGTTTTAAATGCACCGATTGAAATTTGATGACCCCAATGAAAATTGCGATATTCTATAGAACAGGGGAAACTAAAATTTTTATAATTTCAATTAATATAATAATAATTAAAATATAATAATTGTGTAGTAAGAAAGTATACTGTGTTTATTTTAAAATGAATCATTAGCATCTACTTTGGAATGTTCAAGGATTAACAGAACCGCTATATAAACAAGGATTAAGAAAACAGCTATATAACACAACCGTAATGTGTAATACACGTATTACACATTACATATTGCGCGTATGAAATGATATAACGTATCGTAGGTTAAAAGAGTTCATTTAATTCGCCTTAAATTTATATACCTTTTGTTAAGAAGTGACTTACTGCCAGCCAAAGTTTTCAGTCAGCCTAAAACAACGTACAATCGGGCGCCGAAGAGGCATCTTAATATTCTCGCTTCCGCGTTTCAATCGAAACGCTCGCGTTTGCGTTTTGTCGTCCTAACGTAACGGCGTCTCGCTACGTTGGCTCGGACGGTGAAAGCGCTCGCGGGAAAAATGAGCGGGAAACGCTGCATTTAACCGTTCTCTGTACTTTAATGATTTACGCGTTTCGCGGCCCCATCGTAGGCCTTTGTTAGCATGTGCACCGATTTGTTATCTGTACCCGAAACTAAGAAAGCGTCTGTTTTCTTCCAATATTAATGGCCGTCGCTTTGTTTATGATCTCGTAAAACTTAACATGTTAGTATTGTTTTAAGCCGCTTTTCTATCTTAATTTAGCTATTTTTTATGCGAGAAGGTGGAAAACGAGCTGGCGGTTCACCTGATGTTAAGTTATTGCCGCCGCTCATGGACGTTTGCAATACGTAGAGTTTGAAATGCGTTGCGACCATTTAATCAAGTGGGTCCTGGTTACCTCACTCACCGGACGAAACGCAGAGACACAACAGTTGTACTTCACACCGGTCTTCAGCGATAAGCTATATTATTGTAAAGTTTCATTAAAACCCATTCAGAAGTTTTTGCGTGAAAGAGTAAAAAATCCATCCATACATACAAACTTTCACATTTATAATATTAGTAAGGATTATTAGTATACAGTCACTACTTGTTTCATTGTCATCCACGCGATATCGGCCGTCGGGAGGAAGAATGTGTGTGAGGCTCTTATCTGCTAAAATTCCCTGGGCGGTCATTTTAAAACAGGTTCTTCTTAACGCTCCGGTGCCCCTCTGCATATAGGCTAGCGCCTTATTCGTTCTTTCCACTGCTTTACGGCCACCGCGTCGTCATCCTTACCGGGTCTAATGAAGTGGGCGACCAGCCCATGAACCCAGTGTCCCGCTATTTCGAGAGTCGCTTGGTTCTATCTCTGATGAAATCCGGACTACAAAGTATGTAAAGAAGAAAGAAAAAAAGAAAGAAAGAAAGAAAGTGTGACTCAGACAAGCCCACCACCTGTACCACTTAACTGACAAGACTGGTGATGTCTATGTATCGGTTGGTCTGAAACTCTAAGCGGAGTTGCCTAATGGGCCATAAACTTTTTAACGTCCGATATATATTATTCTCTACGCGAATAACACCGTGCCACGGTGCCGCCAATTAGGTGTTTTTTATTAGTACCTATTTCCATGACGCGATGAATTGAACCAAAAGAGCGCCTCGTTCCAAGAACCCCGCGGAAGTCTGTTACCGCCTTAGTTATTGATAATGGCCAATTAAACAACCTTGTTGAACGTACGTAGCGTTTTGAAAATCAATAAGTAAGTGTAATGCTACTGTGTTGAATAAAAATATTTGAAATTGAATTTTAATAGTACGCTGACGCCTAATTTCGGCATTGCGTTGTAATGAGAACGAGCGCAATGTACCTTTGTGTAGTGCTTTGTGTGGAAGGGATTGGGCAGTAATCCTCAACGACCACTGCGAGCTAAAAGGATCTATTGTCGTCTTCCCTTCGAAAACATTGCCCCTTACTGCATTATCCTGTTGCTTGCAAGGACGTTTTACATGCATAAATTTCACATGAATAAACACCCACATCCGAAACAATTATCTGTGGGTCACACAAATAGTTTTATTGTGTGGAAAACGAACCCACGACCCCCGTGCCGTAGCGAATACCTTTGCAACTGCGCCACTGAGCCATGGCCATGTATCATTATTTTAGAAAATATCACATTTTACTGTGTTGTTTAACTGTGGTAGGGCCACGCAGCAGCCTCGGTTGTTTCACGAATGGGCAGGCTCGTCCGGGTAAGTACCACGACCTCACAGAAGACCGGCGTAAAGTGGAAGTATGACATATACTTTCGCGTTTCGTCTGGCGAGTGAGGTAGCTGGAGCCCAATTTTAAAAAGGTTGTCGACGCATCTGTAAACCTCGGGTGTAGCAGATGTCCATGGGCGGCGGTATTCGCTTAAAATCAGGTGAACCGCCTGCCCGCCTGGCAACTTTTCACATAAAAAGTCTGTCATTACATGGTGACAAGCAAATGTTGCTTATCCGTAATATCGGGAAGATGTATGTATGTAAATGGCGGCAATCGTGGAGGGAAAGCGGTAAGACAAAGGCCTATTGCATAATTCGCATCGTGTTCATGTTCCGGCGGTCCTGCGCCCCGCGCCATTGTTCGGAAACGAATAAAGTTGCAAGACCGGCGTTGCGTGTCTCCGCATACCAAAATTGTGATAAAGAAGTGGAAACAAAGGATACGCCAGCACTGCGCATAATTATTCAAAGCCTTTTTTTTTCAATTTAGCCTTTGTAGGCGGCACAAGAGAAGAAACTGTTGTCTAGCATCAACGATATAGAGCCAAATCGACAAAAATATTTTTTTAAAGTAAGTTTTTTTTTTACGTAACAAGATGGCAAGGGAGCGGTTCGCAGTTTAAGTAAAGTGAAAACCCCTGGACATTTGCCATACCAGTTGGGTTGCAGATGCGTTGCCAGCTTTTCATAAAGTGGGCAGAAGTAGAGTTAACTTACCACTTCAAACCAGTCACAGGTCGCGGACATCGCCGTCGTTTGTCGCGGACATTTCCTAAACGCATTTGTGAGCCCTCTGGTGTTGCAGGTGTCGCCATGGGCGGCGGTGACCACTCACCATCAGGTGAGCCTCGTGCTTTTTTCTCATTAAAAAAAATTCGCCAGATGGACCTGCCCATTTGTGCGTACTGTTGCGTGGCCCTAACACAGTAAGTGCAAGTTCAGAGAAAGATTGATTTCCCCATACGTTGGTCAAAGTTGTATCTACATTATAACTGTAGTGTTTGTTCTTATACTATACTATACTAGACTGCCTGTTATAAATATAACTTAATTTCCTAAAATTGTTTCCCGCGCTTTAGGCTTCTGTCTCAGCAAGTAAATTGGTTCTATTCAATTCTAATATTTTTATGTGAACGGTGGTCAAGGGAGCAGGCGGTTGTTTGTGGCTGTTTGCGTTGACAACCTTCAAAAAGTGGGCCCCGGTTACCCAACTCAACAGAAGAAACGCGAAAGATTAATACTTCCATTTCACGCCGGTCTTTTGTGGGGCTATGGTATGTGTCCGGCCGTGCCTACCCATTGTACAACACCTGAAGTTACTACGTGGCCCTACCAGAGTTAAAACTTTTCTGACCGCTTTTATTGATCTTTACAAAATTTTTTATAATCGCACTTACAATAGAATTTAATAGAATTAAATACTATTTCCGGCTTTAGACAAGCCTGATGGCCTATACTTTGAACGAAAGGACTGAGGATGGTTTATACTTCCATCTCGTAATACTTTATTATTCCATTTGAAAAAAAAAAAAAAAAGGCTACTTTCGAGTAAAACATTGTATAAAATATGCAATGCATATATTAATAAATTACACTCCCAACCCTTTCTCCCGTTTATAGTACTTCTAAAACGAACGGCCCTTTGTGTTCAGTAAACAAGTACAGGTTGGGAGATGCTCGGCTTGAGACGGGCTAAGGACTCTCCGCGTCCCATTCGGGACAATCGAGCTGTAATGTTGGTGTAGGGTGGCTAAGTTACAATTGTTCTCGTAAATATAAAGTTGTTTAAAATCAACATTTATTTGTTTATTCTTAGTCAGCTACTAAATATTACATATTTCAAATTAGAATTCAGCAAGCCTATCGTCATTTTCAACCAATCGTCAAAAATGTGACACTTACAGCTTTTGTATGAATGTATTTTATGTTTCGAAAATTATGCATCGATGAAAAAAATTATGTGAGCTATAATTGTTTCTAAGCTATCATTATCGTGTGACAAGCGGGGTGAACTTTTTAAAGGTTGACAACGCATCGGTGTTACGATACTTACACCCCTCAGGTGTTGTAAATTTCCCTGGCAGCGGTAATCACTTTATGTCATCATAAAGCACTTTACATCAGGTGAAGTGCGAGCTCGCTTGCCAACTTTTCACCTAAAACAAAAACTAAATCCCGATCAACGAAACTGCTACGTGACTAAAACAATTTTTTTATTGATCAAACTAGCGACCCCTCTCGGCTTTGCACGTGTGCAATGTATTAATGTACATATAAACCTTCAATGTGTAATTATTCATATAAACCTTCCTCTTGAATCAATCTATCTAGTAAGAAAAACCGCATTAATATGTTAGCATACATAGTGACAGACAGACAGCGGGACGAATTTATTTTATACTATGTAGTTATTTTGGTATTCGAAACTATTGTAGTAATAAAAATCATTATGTATACAAGTGAGAACTGTGTCTTTCGCTTGTCAATATTTTGAACCAAAAAAATTCATAGAGACTCCTCTGAAGAAGGGCCTGTGTGGTGCCCCTAACCGGCAGGACCCCCAAGTCAGTACTTGACCCCAAACAGATGAGATCCGCTAACGAGACCGCGAAGGTGGGTCCAAATTGTTACTTAAGTAGCTCACTAGACTACTTTATTTTAACTCATCGTTAGAATTAATTAAGCATTGTAGTAATGAATATTGCAGAAGTAAATAAATATAAAAAGTATGTGTGTGACATTAAATTCAATTGATAAAGGTTTATTTAAATAACTATTGCTGAATTTCAAAAAGTTGTTACTGTTTCTAATGATTAAATTGGTTCCCAAGCATCATGTCGCTTTCTGAGGGTTAGGGTGCGCGAGCATCGTAAAAATTTTACCCTCATCATTTTTCTAAACGCGCCAAAAGAAGTAGCCTTCAAAAATATTAATCTTTAACAGTTTTATGGATTGCATAACAGAACATAATAATCATGTCTCACATCTAAGAAAGTGCAAACGGTATTAGTTAATACTGGCTAAGTGTTATTTGTATTGATGAAAGTTAAATGTAACTAGTTGATCAGTGCGAAATTTTCGCACACTGCTGTGAATGGTAACATAATAATGTCTAACCGCTTAATCGCAACCTTTCATTTAAACAAATTGTCAATAGATGATAATATCATACAATATGCTGTTTAAGACATTTTCGAACATAATTTTTTTATGAAAACTTTAACTTTATTCTACTTGTCTATTTTTCGTCAAGAGTAGCAAAAGTGAGCTTTAAAATGGTGTATGAATATAAAATTTGAAAACGCATTATGGAAGTTACGAATTTTATTGTGGTTCATTAAATTGGTGATCATCACGTTAACTGCTTAACTATAACGAGGAGGTATAACCCTTCTGAAGTTTTCGGCTCAATGACTAATAATGACTTGTGTTATTATTGCGGAGACTAACACGAAATTGGATTACATATTCGCATATTCGCGACGTTGCGCAATTTCATTTGAGCTAAATGAGTATTCAAAGTCATCGTGGCAAAATCAGTTTGATTTCCAAAACGCGATGACGTTTCATCAGTATATTATATATATATATATATATATATATATATATATATATATATATATATATATATATATATATATATATATATATATGTGTGTCGGGTCGATGTTTCATGATGCTTGTCAGTGAGATTTTTGAAGTTATACTTCCTTTGGCCTGTTGGGAACAATTATGAGAGTAATATTTTAACGAGGAGCGCACACCGACCCCCAAAAATCTTCATGCAAGTTTTTTTTTGTCAAATGGTGAATTTTATGATATAAAGTGAAAATAAAAAATACAGAAATTGTGTAAAGTGGATTTACTTTATTTTTTAGCATTAATTAGGTCGAATCCACTGGTGTCGTGGACACCGGTCGTGGAACCTTATTCTAGTACCGGAAGGTGTGGGTTCGATCCCACAAAATAATTAAAAAAAATATAGTGTGTCGAATAGTGTTCAGATGCAAAACATACCTTCAATAAGTTACCCAGTACGCAAAGTGCTTATTTTGGGGTTAGATAGCGTTGGGTAAAATATGCCTTTTATTTATCCATTCGTCTATTACATGCGACAACTAAGACAAGCTTAGCTTTAAGCTTAGTTACGTATAAAAATTCCAAACCCGAATCTGTTGTGTAAGCTCGACCGCATTGGACCGACTTGTTAGTTGTTGTTCTGAGAGCCAATTACCGACTACAGAAAAGCGCCTGGCATTGTGTAGCCAAATAACATTCCTTTGGCGGACTTGTTTAGCGATAAATCGAAATAGTCAAGCACTCCAAGCAAGTCTGCTCGATAAAAGGCACGGCAGAGTCATCCAGTGGTAATATGTTCTTTATTTATAACTAGCGACCCGCCCCGGCTTCGCACGGGTGCAACTTAAAGACTAAATGCGTTACTACATAGTATAAGAAAAGTCGTCCCGTTGTTTGTCCTTCCCTATGTATGCTTTGATCTTTAAACTACGCAACGGATCCTGATGCTTTTTTTTACTAGATAGAGTCATTCAAGAGGTAGGTTATACAATACATTTCACCCGTGCGTAGCCGGGGCGGTTCGTTAGTTATCTATAAAAACGGCACAAAAATCATGTCTATTGTATGGGAGCTTCAATTAAATATTTTCTTATTCTATTTCTAATATTTTTGTGTTATAGCGACAACAGAAATAAATCATCTGTGAAAATTGACAAAATAATTTGTGAATGGTGACAGATGGACAGACAGCGGAGTCTTAGTGATGGGGTCCCGTTTTACACTATGGGTTCGGAACCCTAAAAATACCTCTAAGGTCCATTAAGGTTAAGGTACGTGCATTGCTTATAGCGTTGAACTCTTTGGGCATTAGTCAGCGCGGGTCGGCCGCTATGGCACAGTCCACTTGTCGGGCAGTTTATCCAGTGGAGAAAACGTCATGGCCTCCGAAATGGGGTCGCCCGACACCCCGACATGTAAGCGTCGCCAATCGATTTAAAAACGGAGACCTGTGTGAATGTCTACGCAGGCTTAAGGATTAAATGGATTCTCTTTTTATCATTATCTCAATTCTCTTTTTATTTAATAGATGGAGTAACAACGATCTTTGCAAGTCGATGGATGCAGGTGGCTCAGGATCGTGATCCGCGACGGTCTGTGGTTGAGGTTTATGTTCAGCAGTGGACTCAAACTGGCTGAAGTTATGATGATGAAACGGATTGGAAATTAGTTTAAATAGTGCTCTGATTTTACGTGCCGTGTTTCAACTCACACACCACATAAGGATTGTCGAATCAAAAATAGTCGTGTCTACGAAACTTCTTGAGGCACGGTAGAAAATTCTAGTCCGACATTAATTCAATTCATTGTATTGTGATACTCGGTAATAAAATATCAAAAATGTAGAGAATCTTATGTTATCAAGTTTGCTACTGATGTTTGCCCTAGTTTGTCCCAATAAATAAATAAAGATGCTTATGTAAGAGAGAAACCCCGATAAATTGTTCTGATAACATTATAAGGAAGACGAAGGAGGTCACACGTTTGCGGTTTAATGCTACAACATTATGTTATCAATCAAACTTATGATATAAATGAAGCAGATCATGTTAAAAAAGTTAAATATCTCATCACATCGAAAACTCTATACGCCAAAGATTATATCGATTTCCCATAGCAACAGATAAAATGACTTATACATACAAAGCAGTTTACGTCAGTAGTAAGTGAAAATTTTTTGAATACTTTCTCTACGTTACGTTGTTATATTTTTGAAGTCATACTTCGTTTAGTACGTTTGGAAAAAATTATGAGAGTATATTTAGACAGTTGAAATTTTCACATAATTAACCCTTCGTGCGCGACTCCTACTCGCACT